CATTGATGAAATCTTTGGTGCACAAATTGTGGAGTGGTTTGTCCGAGATCAAGTCCCGATTCGACCGGCCTTGCAGCTGGATCGACCCCACACAGACGCCGTATTCAGACCCGGCGACTCGGGTCGACCTGTCGGAGGAGGACAACCGCCGCGCGAGAAACCCAGACCGGCAATCGTGCCGGTCACGGACGATGGACCGCCGTCGAGCGATTTTATTTCGAAACTAGAAGCGGATCTCGTCGCCGGGCGTAAGTTTCTCCCCTAATATCTCGAGCCGATCCTCGGCGCGGAGAACATTATCACATTTATTCTATCTAGGTCTCCGACCCACCGTTATGATCGCGAGAATCCGCTCGACATCGACCTCGAAAAACCCCTTGAGAGTAATCCTTTCGACTTCCGTGTACTGTGGCGAAAGCTCATAAAATATTATCGTATACATTCGCAGTAACGCCGGAACAACTGGAAGAGCTATCTTTCCAAGCGATCGATCCCCGGACACAGGAGGCTCCATCGCCCAGAAAGATACACCGCAAAGTAGTCTTCCCCGGACGTGTCGTCTGAGACCGAGCTTGCAGACATCCCTCCATCCTGTCATCTTCGAGGCCTCACAAGGAGGAGTTGTCTTTGTACATACGACATAGCGATCACGCCCCTAGCGAGATAGGCTTATTCATGATGAAACTCAATATAAATTTTATATCCAACCGCAATCCATACCTCAGGGTTCATGATTAAATGTTGCCAATGTTGCGAGAGACTTGGGTCCCACCCATGTGTGTCCCACTCATGACAGACGGGTCACCTTGAATCCGATGGTGGATTTATCGCAGCCGTCGAGGGCTTCAGAGACTCGCAATTTCACGGGAGTCCACCGCTGGAGGGCGAGACTCCCTCGTCCATCCGCCTCCAGCACCAGCAAGGAGCCCCGCTCTCGTGAGGCGCCAAATTCGGGTACCGCAGCTCAGTCGGAAATGGCCCGGGGAGAAATGGACCATGGAAATCACCGTGGGCTCGAAGGAAGTAGCCGGCTACTGGATTTGAAGCAGCGACTCCTCGCTCGAAACGGTGCGACGCAAGCGGGGCTTCATAAATCTGCGCGTGATAAACAGACCGCTCCGGCTCTTCGACTATCTCGGTCGCCTTTTGCTGTCCGACTTCGGAGACGCCCCTTCCCCACCCCGTAGATAATTATTGTTCCGACGTTGTTCGGCGGGAGGTAGTTGTACTCCTCGATACCGGAGGCTCCGGAAAGGTTAAAGTCCCGATCGCCAGACGATTGACTAGTTTCGAGAGCCTGAACGGTGGGCGAGGATCGTGCCCATAAGGAGTTTCATTCAATCGCACGTACATCCGAACTTCAATTTTTCCCGTATCAGATGCCGCCGACCGGCCTCCGATTCGATTGTCTCGGTTTTCGTTTCACCGAGCGCTCAGCACTACTGGGGAGTCCCAGGTCGTCGACGGGAGCTCTCATGATGGGAGGATCGTCAATACGGATGGGTCGCAGAATCGACGTGTAGCATGATCTTATATAATGCGGGCGGGGAAGGATCTGCAATGATGCTTCGCAGCGGTACGACGCTGGAATGAGTCTGGAATTCATAATGACCAATTTCAGAAGAGCAATGGTCCTTGCGAGAACGTCGCTGGCATGCGAATGGCCAACTCTTTGTGTGCTCTGCACCTGCTCATGAACGGCGGCCGAGTCTAGCGGGACGAATGCACAGCTGGGTTCGGAAATGAGTCCTCTATCTGGATAGAACACCACAATGCATGTCTCTTGTTTGCTGTATTCAAACAGAGTTTGCCGAGCACTCTGCGATGCTCAGCCCTCCTGAAGACCCTGAATGTCTCGGATGGAAGAATGTCCCGGGACCCTCGTTCCCGAGGAAAAACTTGGGCCGAGTGGGAATCGGCGGCATTGGCAGATAAGTGACGGGGATATTTATCTCCATCATATCTCCCATCATGAGCCGAACAAGCGAACCCCCAATCGCCGTGGTGGTTCAGATTGCCCTTGCGTGATTCATCAAAGCCCATATTTGATTCCTTCGCTGCAGAGAGCTTGATGAGCGTCTTGATGAACTAGGTACTCGAAAGTTGGCTCAGCAAGGCAAATCGATAGTTTCGTTTGTTAGAGTCTTCACTGCAAGCTCTCGTGTCGACGGATAAGGCGTAAACTCAACAAACTTTGGAGCTCGAGTAACTGAAAAGATTCTAGACTCACCGGTGTCAGCCTGGGTCCCTACTCAGGAGTGAGCAGAGTCTGCGGGCATTCTCTCAACACAAACTTGAGGCGACTGAACTCAAGATACCCCCTAAGACTCCTAGATCTAATGAGCATTCTCCGCACTACGCCGACAAGTTAACTCGACTATGAAAGCTTTCCGTAGTGTGAAGCTTCCGGCTTGCCAAGCGACCACCCAGCGATCGAAAATTGCCACAACGGGAGTCTAGGAGCAGCGGGGCTTCCTGTTTCCCGTACGCAGATCATACTCGCCGTCTTTATTGGCCGGCCTATGATCGAAAGCGATGTTCTCCGACCAGGGGTCGAATATTCGAACACCCAAGGTAGTATCGTCGGATCGTTATTTAGCCGTGACGACGGAATTGGAATAGGGGCAGAAAATCATTACGGATCCTCTGTGTGAGCATTAGATTATCGACTCGACCCGATTCTCCGCAACGGTGCCAACGGGTGAGACTTTCTCTCGGGACACCTGAACTCGGGACAAATACACGGCTTACGTGGACTACGTTAGGCTCTTGAACAAGAAGGCCGACATCTGGATATCTGAGGTTCCGATATGAAGAGAAGCTCGTGAAGCTGCATTAAAGAGTATCCGCTGTAGGCTATGCCAAGATGTCCATGTTCCCGGGCGGGATCGGCTCCGAATAAAGCACGGATGTGTTTCTCGGTCGAATGGCACCGGACTACATGCATGCACGAATCTCGACACAGAACTTGAATAGGAGCATCAGGAGCCGTCGGCATTTTGATCACGTAACCGGATCTGAGCAGAGTACACACATACATATATGCCGAGCTCCTCAGGCGGGACGCGGGTTGCGCGTGGCTCGCATACGATAGGTAGCATCGGAGAGATTTCCACAGGTAGGCAGCGATCGCCCATCGGAGCATTCCCGAAAGGAATCCAGAGCTGATCCGGCTCTGGTGAAATCGAGATCGGTAAGAAGCGAGAAGAACGAATCTTCCCCTCCATCGACGGCTCTATCGGCTCTGCTCCCCGTGATATCGCGCAAGGTCCAGACAACGGAAGGAAACTCTTCCCTCTGCCTATTTCCCATTTCCAGGGAATTGTCCAGCTTTGCTCTTGGCTTTCAATGATTGTCAGGCTTCTGAGAGAATCCATTCAACTTGTGTGACTTGCAGATCGAGATGGATTGCACCGGACTTCGAAAACGTTTCAGAGTTTCCGGGCGGGGAGTATCGACCAGAGCGGACGCTACAACTCTACGAATGGAATTTTCTGTGACAGCTCGACCGCGAGTCCCGTTGGAAAGTCCCTGCTCATCACTCTGCTTCCCCCAAAGCTTCATCAGTCGAGCTCTCGCGTCATTTCTACCGCTGGGCGACTCGTATCCGCGAAATTGAGATAAATCAAGCTCCGAGACCACCTGCAGCGTCGAGGTGATTTTTGATCCCGCCATGTCTACTCCTGGGCCAGCAAGCGCAAAAGACGGAAACTCGGTTCCGCCCTCGAAATTCCGAACCTGCAACGACGACGGTGATTTTTGATCCCGCCAGGTCTAGCCGAAATTCCGAACCTTAGCTTCCTGTCAGAGCTCCATCAATGATCGATGATTTGTCTAATTCCAGTCTTGTTGCCCATCCTTACAAAATCTGTCACAGTTCGGTCAACGCAGCGAGATCCTCTATACGAGGGGGCGTGTGGAAAGATCTCTCGACAATGAGTCCTGATGCGTCCTGACACCCATCAGAAAAATTCCCACCGAGCGACCTGAGCGTTTGGCGGCGTCATCATCTGGCACGGTTCCCTCACGTTTTTCCCTCAGGTACTGGAGCATGCCGAGCATCCGCTCCCCGCTCCCGGACGCCCTAGTACAAAAAAGACGCTCCCTCCTGCAATGCTCCCCTTCCGAGTTGGGAGGACGAAGACCACCTACCTTTACGCACGCCTCCCCCCACCCCTACGGAACTACTTGTTCGTGAGAGGTGTGTGTGCCTGGAAATCTCCCCACTGAACATGGGTGTTGGGTGGACTGGCTCTAATAGGAGATGTCACTGAGTGCGAAGGTCGCGTTCCGACTGGAATTAGATCGGATTCGGCCTCTGGAGCCTCGCCAGAAGGCGCGGCTCGCCGGTGGAAGCGCGGGAGAATTCATTTTGTTCGGAATTCTGAATAATTTCAAAGTCTCGACGTTCCATGATTCGCTCTATTTGCATCTCGTGTTTGAAGGCAGTGAGTGATTTATGTCAGGAATTCCCGGCTGGACGTAATGAAATTCGGCTCTTGATCATGGAGCAGGCGAAGCCGGCATGAATGGAAGAGAGCAGAGCAAACGAAGAGTCTCGTGCGAATTTATTCATCCTTTCGGTCATTTGCGACTTTATCCATCAATGCCTCCCGACACAAGTCTGTCATACTCCGTCAATCGTTCAAGGAGCAAAGCCCGAGGCGTTTGCTTACAGACCTCCTCTGAGGTCAAAGGTCTCTTACTCGTTCAGTTTAGGTCAGAAGTGCTCTCGCATTTGATTCAAAATCAGAATTCTCAATTCAATTTCTCTTGTCGACTTTCCAATTTCACGAAAGCTAGATACGTGACCCCTTGTCGGATTTGTGAAGTTGTTCCTACACGAGCCATGACGCTCGTCCCATTCTAACCCTACCGGGATGAAAGTTCCGAGATGTTCCCGGAGAATTCATCTCGGTGTCCTCTGCGCCTTTGCGTCCTATTGGAGACTTCCGTGCCATCCTGACGCGCATCCTTTCGGAACACCAGTGAATCGTCCATCACACGGCGTCGCATCGCACTCCTCCTCCGCTTTCCTGGCATCGTCGGTTTTCGGGAACCATTTCCATCAAGTCGACAGGCTCGGATCGTCTACGATTCCGTCGGCCTGAGGCTTGGTGGCTAGTGATCGTGGCCGTGATCGTATTTTTATTTCTATTCAATCTCTGAGATCGTTGGCTCATGCTAGAAAGCCCCGTGGGCTGCCGGCGTGCCAGGGTGCGACTGTACGCGTGGCGCACAGCATTCTGCACCTGTAAGGTGTGATGCGCATGTAAGAAACAGAGACCGATCGAAGGTTTGAAGGCCGTGACTCGGAGAGACTACATTGCCATGCCACGATGAGCGTTGTCCATTCGAGACAGAGACTCGGCAACCTATGGGAGTCTCCGATGACTGGGGTAAGACGAAAAGTCTCCGGATAGGACGATCAAGGTAGGGCAAAAGTACCAGTTTTGGAGCACTTAAGGAAATTTCCATAGACCCCCAGCTTATTTGGGTGAAGGGGGTACCAGTTATGGAACACTCCTTGGAAGTCTATGGGGAGCTCCGTGAACGGGTCACGGAGCCCCATGTTAAGAGTATAGTCTAGTCTCCGAGTCGGGGCATCACATGGTTCTTTGATCTCGGATCCGTTCCTCTTGCGACGGTTTCCCTCCGTACATACCTCGGCGTTCATGAAGCAATAAATTATTGAGACGAAGGTGCCCTGAGAATGGAGAAGCGATGCTCAGCCCAATTGTCTCAAGATAAGATTTTTCGAGAGCGGGAAACGAGCTCGGAAGCAACTCACCTGCATCGGGTGAAGGAAGGCGTTCACAATGTCGTAAATTCTCTGGTCATCAAAACGCATACAGTATATCAGATGTGTCAGACCGAACAGGGGGAATAGAATGGCAGTGGCTTTGATCGCTCGTCTGAAATACGGGAATTCCACCGCTCCACCAACTCATCCAATATCCATCCTCCAATCCGACATACATATGTTTATGGGTCTAAATGCTGTCGAACGACGGGAAAGCGTCCGAATCGACGAACTCAACCCGCATCGCTCTAGCCCCGCTAAATATGTACGGATGTGCATAAAACGACGGTGTCGACTCACGTTAGCTGATTCGTCTCAGGTCTCTTCCTACCCGAGACGAGTACAATGCGGACGATGTTTACTAGGAACAAGCTATTCACCTGGAATGCGGATATCGAGCCTGACATGCATGGAGCCGTTCTACCGCGTCGGGTATCGATGCGAAAAACGCCTGTCAAGCCTCGTGCTCACCATTAACGCCACGATCCGAGGGATGGTCAACAGTCGGATGTACGGAGAAGAACCGTAAGTGACCCAGCAGGACTTTTCTTGAGTCTTCTCCATGATGTACGCCCAAGGAAGGACGAAGAACAACGGGAGCACTGGAGATACAGCCATCCGTGTGAGAGATTCCCCACGAACATTGACTCGAGACGCGATATTCTCGCTCGAGGTACCTACTTACCTACATCGCATTGGCAAACTTACCGTACCCGATGAAATAGTAGAGCCTGAACGGGGCGTCCTGGCGGAATATCGACGTGGTCAGCCGCGAATGCAGCAGCAGACCCTCCACGAACATCCAGTTCACGGACGAAGTCGAAGAGTACATGGTTACCGTCAACGTGGTTTTGCAGAATTTCGGCTGGAACAGCGAATAAACTCGATGATTCATTTACCTCGGCGAGAGATGACGGTTGCGAGCTGTCGGAGGAATCGAGAAGTTGATTCATAACTCGTTCACGATCCTTCGTTTTTCGTATATCATAAATCAATTTCTGATGAGGACTCCTCTCTCTCTCTCTCTCTTTCTCTCCCTCCTGCCCGCCGACCGATGAAAAAAACCGGAGTCTCAGTCCGTGCACGAGTCGTACGTCTAAGGAAACAGTGGGTTTGGGTAAATAATAAAGGGGGTGATAGCGCCAAGAAAAATCGGTCGACCATTGTTTGCGTCCCGGCATGTGGCGATGGCGGCTCCGTCCATCCGGAAGGGCCGGCCGTAACAAAAGGACTACGTGTTGGCGGCTTAAGCCCCGAAGTAGGGGATTCCCGACGAAACTCACGTCCCGCGAGAACTCTCTGTCTGGAGAGAGCCTAGAAGTTTGTTTGCGTGTCATCTTTGCCACGTCTCCGTCAGAAACCCCGTTCAGGGATCTTGCTCGACAGAGTTCGGAGGCGTATTCTCGACGTGTAGAATAATTTGAGGGTTTCGCCCGCCAGCATTCAGCGCGATCGGCGTCGACATCTGGACTTATCGAATGAAAGTCGTCGATACAGATCATGTCGACTCAATTAGGTCCATAATAATAATTACTGATTGGATTGTTTCCCTTCGAATCTAAGGCGGTCGGACATTCACCCGACCCGCGGAAAAGCTACGCGAGTGCGGAAACGGAGGTTCGAGTTTCACTAGGAACCTCCTGAGAGTTCTCGACTCGAAGAAGTTTCGCACTCGTGTAGAGTGCGTCTCATCGGAACTCCAGATGCAATGATAACGCAAAGCGGGAACTGTCCTCCCCAACTCAGAATAATTAACGAGCGGGAGCACCGCGACGGGGCGAAATTCGCGGCTGATCTCGCACGAGAGGGCTGTAGCTCCACTCTGGAGGAACAACACACTTTTCAACGCTCGACTGGAAATAACAAGCGCGGAAACCGGAGCCCTCCACTTTCACACGTCCATTATCCCTCCAGTCAGTTTTCTCTCGCCTGTTCAATTCAACCGAATTCATTATAGCTTCAGTGGAGAAGGATCCACGAGGGAAGCCGCTAATTTGAAGAGCGTATCCTAGCGACTAAATCGCGGGGAATGGTAATTTCTCTCCATCTGACCCAGAGGCCGGGAGGAGACCCGACTGGAACGCTCCGCTCCATTTGTTCCAGCCGAGACATCTTCTTCCTCTACTCGATGATCAGCTCAACAGCTCCCACGCTCTTCAGACGGTTCGGATTAGAGAGGAGCGAAGCAATGCATTCTCGCTGTCACCCTCGAGCGCAAACCTAAAATCCGCTGTTAAAGGGTTCGCTTTCGACGTCTCGCGGCTTGAGTTCCGGCTTGGAGTCGTGTTCACTTCCCGGAAGAGCCGACAAGCCACAAGCGAATGGCACGGCAGTGGGAGGCGAGACTCTGTGTTGTTCCGCGCGGGACTCCGGGGAGAGGAGTTCGCCTGACCGTAAACAATGAAGATTCATTTTCGTCCATCCCGAGGGTCCCACTTACGTAGTAGCGGATGTGCGGCATTATCAAGTATCGGTGACCTGCATTCACAACATTCGGTAAACTAGTCGCGAATGCTGCTAAAGAATACATGAAAAGAGACAGTGAGAGACACATGTGAACTTTCGTTCGCGGGCAGTGGAGTTTCCTGGAAACGAGAATAGGATTTTTCATATACGATTATTCGGCTGTGCATTTGCCTCGAATTTCGTCAAAATTTATCATCGTGTTTAGCTCACCGAAATCGGCTAAAGATATAGAATGTTATCAACAAGAAGAACATCGATGAACAAGACCCAGCCAGCATGATTCTACCTAAAAGTAACTGATGTGGCGTCATGGGTTCCGGGGCGACCTGTGAAGAGAGAAGAACTTTTTACGTCAAGTCCTTTTAATCGTTCCCTCGCCCTTCTGACAGAGTCATCATCCTGACACATTTCCGCGGAGATCCGCGACCGGAGGATGTAAGCAAATACAACTCCGTCCTCCACGATCGAGACGACGTGGCGGTCGCTCTTGACTGCGGACAATCAAGCTCATCGCGCCGCTCAGTGAGACCCGTACTGCTCGCCGAAGCGGACAACGGAGCAACACAACAAAGCAACTCAGGAGAAATCAGAGATAATATCACTTTTTCCAGCTGCGACAAATAGGACTTCCCTCGCAGAGGAACAAACATAGAGTTCCTCAAGCGAGCAGTGTCATTCCAGGGACCCCAAGCTGATCCGGAATGGGGACCAGATATCTGTTCTCCCTCTGCTGGTGGAAGAGTTTCTCGGAGCTCATATCGTCCATCGATTCGAAGCTCGATGGAGAGGTGACCTGCTGCGGAGGTTTCCCGACATGGTCACCACCTCCTCGGGCCCAGGGAAAAAAGACGCGTATCTCTGAAATCCTGAACTCCTGCCCGGGAGGAGCCTCGTCGAAAACTATGGAGAATTCCGCAGCGTTCCGTGACATCTCCGTTTTTGCTTCCCGAAGCTGCGAAACTCCAACAGCCACGTTGACTTTTTCTGGGAGTCCCATTCGCTAGGAGCAGGAGCTATACATTCGATATGGGAGCACTGATTGCGAGCGAATTTTTCCCTGAACTCTCGCTTGGAGCCTCATATGCTTCGAGCGTAAATCCGAGATACAGTTCATCGCCCGAAACTTGGGTGAAGCGATAATCAAGGGACAGGTCGAAGATTGCATCTCGACTCAAGGAATTCCCTCGCCCGTCGGAATTCGTCTGAGAAGCGGGAGCGTACTCAACAAGTAGGGTCGTCCACCGCTGGCCCTTCGCAAGTGGCTCGCTCGACTGAAACCTCGCGTGAAAGGTCTGGAATGTTCAATCACTTTCTTCGGGAAGGCTTATCCGAGCGGCTCCGCGCCGTACATCAACACTTGCGAAAGTGCGAATTTTTTCACCATCGGTTAAACCTTTTGGGCTGATCCCTGGCCCCGTCAACCTCTCGCCCATGTCTAGCTTCTGCGAGCGAGGTCCGGACCTTCCTCAGAATGAAGCCATGGGAACATCACGCGGATACTCGGCAGTCGGGTTCGACTCCGCATGCGGTTTCGTAAGTAGGCTTCCGCACCCCACGAATCGCGGTCATCGATAGCCGGCGAGGCTCGCTAGCTACAAAATCCCCGCGGCTCCGGTGGTATGATCGGGTTCGGGAGCGTCGATTAGAAGTGAGTCTCCTCGGACTGAGATTTCTGATGGTATTTGGCAGTCCATCGTCTCGAGGGAGAGATTGTTTCCATTCAGGTCGTCGAAACTTCCGGGTTCGGCCCGATGGTAGTTTTCAGATGATAAGGCTCTGCTCTCCTCATGGGCTTTGTCGATACGAGTCGTCGAAAAAGTCGGTGAAAGGGTGTGTGCGCGTGTGCATTCCGTTGACCATTAACGCGCCCCCTCTTGAACTTATGGAGCTATCGTTACCGTTTCATCCCTAATGGAAACGCTATGTGTGTCTACGCTCAAATCGTAGGGTCGGGTTGTGGGCTGATTATTGGATTCGTCCCATCGATTGCCGATTGATTGTCAGATCTGACGTGAGATCTTCATTTTTCCATGAAGTCTCTCCAGCCAAGGACTCGTTGGAAGGGAGAATTCTCGGGGGGAGAATTCACTCCTGTCGCCTGTTCTACTCGAACATATGCTAGTGATCGGCAATACTCACTCTGTCGATATAATTGCCCATCGATTCACATGCTCTATAGTCGGTGCTGTTGATCCAGCTCCCGTCGGAGCCGCATCGACGAAACGCGTACAAATCTGGAAAAGTCAACTCGGTCAAAGGAGAAAAAGGACATATCGGCATCTTCCGCTAGAGGTATGTTTATTTCTGAATCAAGTTCCATCAGCAAAGATTTGAGGGAACGTATCTAAGAACCCAAGTTCACGCAAGAAGCCGCTGTCAACGGAATAGCGTGGGTACGGACGGAATATCGAAAACGGAGAGAATCTCCGAGGTTTTATGCAAATGGAGCTCCCTACTACGTTTCACTTGCTCTCACTCAGTCGCAGTAGGACCGTACTCGATCACGAATGGATGCAAATGTCCCGAGAAGCAATTTAGGGGGGATCGAAGCATTAAAATTGACGGTTCCCAGCGGCATAATGTCCGAAAAAGGTTCCTGAAGGTCGCTCCGAGTTGAGACGGTGCGCAGTGCACACTACGCGAAGCTTGCATCTGCAGTACATGCAACGTTGTTGGAAACTCAGTGAGAATCGCTCCCCCGATACGAGGCTTTATCCTGACGAGTGAAGACAGACGCACTCAGGTGTTTCAAAAGAGAGAGAAACATGCGGGAAACGCAATAAAACACCACATGCACACCAAATCACGACTTGGGCCGTCATTTGAATTCGTTTCGAAAGAAACGCTCCCCTGAAGACAGAAAAAAATACGCCATTCTCCGCGTGGTTGCGCTTCCGAGGCGGCGATTCGAGGCGGTACGTACTTTTGAAGAAATGTCTCGCCGGTTCCAAGTCAGCCGGTATTGTGTGATTGTAGTGAGCTCTGAAAATATGCTCACAGTGCTTCACTAATGTGTAATTGGCTGGGACAGGAGGACTGCAAGCAATGTGATCCAGATCTGGCGGACAAAACGTACCGCTGAGAAATCTTCCCGCCGGACTCAAAGAATCTGCGAAGGAGAGAGTAGCTGGTTAGGAGAAGAAACATTCGTTTCCGTACAGCTCGAACGCATGGGGAAAACGGATTATTCCGCAGACGCCGAGCCTGGATATCGAGTGGAGAAGGCTTCAGCTAAAAGCTCTTAGACAGCATTGAATTGTCTCGCTCGCCGGAGTTGAGCACAGCGCCCTAAGCCGCGAGATTAGGGCGGGGAAATGCCTCGAAAAACTCTTCGGAAGTCCAGTCAACGGAAAACGTTTGGTTAGAATCCTTCGGGGCCATTCCTCGCTCAGCGATCGCACGAAATTAAGCGCCCGCGCTCCCGGCGGTGCCTTGTTCTCACTACCCAACCGCTGTGAACTCGCTTCTGCTTATGCCTGACTTCTTATCTGTAGTGCGCAATGAAAAAAACGCCGGCTTGCTCAGAGTGCAAACATCCGGCTGCAGCTGAGCTCCGTGCTCGGAAGCGATCTGTTCGAATCATAAATGTTCCGCTTCTTTGCCTCCCGAGTTCTCCCTTGTTCCGGTCGGGCGTTCCGGGGATTCGGGAAATGCTCATAATCCTGGCTGGCTCGCTAGCGAACCATACAACTGAAAACCCCTATCACCGTCGACTGTCGCGACGAGATGGCGCGACAGAAGAGTCCATATTGGAGGGTACATAGGGGTTTATCAGAGTTTTCGAGTCGATCAAAGCCGGGACCGGGCGGCGGCGGAGATCTCGATCTTTTCAACGCGGATGTCAAAACGGATGTCAAAACGGAACGACAGGTCAAGTGGGACGTGAGATCTGCTCGGGCCCGCGTTGACGTTGAGCGCGATGAAGTAGATATCGGAATTCCGCGGGGAGAGGTCCAACGACGAGAAGAATGAGAAAAAAATTATCTCTCGCTTCCGTACAGTGCAGGAGAGGTGACGTTCCGGTGGCCTCCTGAAAATGACGAGAAAATGCCGAAGCGGAACAAGTGCGGACACGAGTTTCGAAATAAAGACAAAAAACTTCTGCACGCTATATTGGAGCCATCAGCAGACTCGGCCGCTCCAAGGACGAGGAGCGGTGATGATCTCCAAGAGGTTCTTTCCACGGCGAAAAGCACTCCGTCGCTCACTCACAGAGCATGATCGTCGGGACATGCTCGAATTCAACTACAGCAGAATGTCGTTATAGTAGACTCCTACATAGAGCACTTTCGCTTACACCAAGCGACATTTCGCTCCGGACCTCCTATACCCATATACCCTCGGCGTATGTTGGTCGCATAGCTTGTAATGGATTTCGGTGATTGCGGACGTTTTCCGTCGCCTCTTGGAAGTACCGCACAATGAGACTGTTCTGTTTATGCGATACGACCCCGCCGGTTGTAACCAGGATCGTGACTTCACGACGAGAATTCCATGTCCCGTCGATTACTTCCAATCGTAAAATGCCCCGTGGGACTCTCACGAAGAGGAGAAATGTCTCGTAGACGAATGACAGAGTAGTTCGCGCGGAGGATTGTTGCCGCCCTCCCAACGGACCACCGAGCGTAGTATTCGCTGGTCGCAATTCTATTTCAAGCTGTCCGCAAAAAGGAATCAAGATACCATGGCTCGGCCACGAAACAATATTGTCGATGAACCGACAGCGGTATTGCTTAGCATTACAGATGAAGGACAGTGTTATTGCTCAATAAAAGCGATACAAGCCCGAACGAGAAGCACTCTACTCGAGGGACCGAGGCCGGTAGGAATCTCGACAAAGCCGTTCTTAGAATGAAGAGCCTCGCATATCAGGCAGACTGAGGCAAAAAAAAACGGGACAAAATCATGACCAGGAGCAACCGAAGCCGCGTCACTGGATATCCCTTGTGTGTGTAGGCGAGCGGAAATTCCGTCCGGAGAGAATAAGCACATTCATAAGTCGGATGTGTGCTTATTCAGTGGCTTCATTCCGTTTTCCGAAGGGTACGTTCCAGGCAGACGAGCACGCGCGTCCCAGCCGAGCTGCACATGGGCTTCGCCGGCGAGCGTGGAAAGCTAGCGTGTTGAAGAGCTCTGACACCTTGATCTCCTCAGGAGAACCGACGACGAATATGGATATGAGTCTTGGATTCTGTGTCATCTTGGCCCGCCACGGGATGCTCGTCAGGTCAATCATGGACGCGGTGAGTTCTCCTGCCGGAGCTGTGCTTGATCACCGGTCCGACTCCGCTTTTCGTGCCCTCGACGATCCTTCCGGGACGAGCTAGTCGGAGGATGGTGATCTGAGAGAAGTTCCTCCGGATTGACTTCTTTTTCCCCGCAGAGGGAACTGATGACTATGCACCGTTACGATGATGACACTATTCAGTGAATTGAAGTTCTCGCTCCGGATCGCGATGATCCCTCCAGCCCGGGTAGTCGGAGCATCGCGGACCCATTGACTGGACGTCTTTTTACCCGTCCCGAGTGGGAATGGTACCCCAGTACCCAGTACCGCTTGGGGATCCCAGATGTCTAGAAGAGCCGACCGGGTTTTATGTTTGTCTGACTTCTGCTCCGAATCAGAGGCACGGGTGAATTGCCGGAGGTCTTTTGAAAATCTACAGCCTACATCTCTTCTAGCTCGGGACAGTCACAATGGGAGGGCAATCAGCATTGACGACGCGACGTCTCCACAGCGTCGTATTAGCGGTCGGTAGCTCACGACCCGAAAGCCTGCAGTCTGTCCACCCATTCACTGCGGATTCCGAGGCAGTGAAAGCTATGGCACTGCGTTGACTCGTATCAAGATCGAACGCAGGAGAAACCCCTACAGAAACTCCCGGGAGTCCCGAACAGAGCACCTGGAGCAACGGGGGAGGAGTGGCGGTATGGGACCTGCGACATCGAGAATACGGAAGCCGAGCCACTTATCGGAGGCATTATAGAATACGGATGCGGCGATGGGTTGTTGCCCCATCGACGACGCGGAGGCCAGACGCATTCCTTAGAGCCCAATTACGATCTCTCGGAGTCGCAGTCCATCTCTTCCTCGCTATCTGTTTTCCGTCATCTGAGACAGAATAAGGTCGATACTCCATCCGAGGGGGGACGATGGTCGGCGGAAGCCAATTATGAGCTTGATATTTTTTCCAAAGTCGCAGACAGACACAGCACTTTCGGGCACTTGGCACGAAGCCGTCTCTATTGCGTAATCTAATGAACTCTACGCCGAGCCTGAATATTAGTGGTGTTCGGGCTTGTTGCGCATATTCTCATCTACACGGAAAACCGTCCGCGGCGCGATGCATATATTAGGCTCCTTATCCCACATCCGGGGATTCGTTTTGTCAAGTTGCTTCTTTGTCCTATTCAGTCAGCGGGGTACGTGTAAGGATGATAACTCGCTTCTGCCACGTCCAGTGGTCCCGACAGACACTTAGAGGTCGCGGAGGAATCCGCGCCCCAAGGAGCTAGTCGTGGCCTCCGAGAAGAGCTCAGCAGAGATACGAAAAATAATAAAGTGGTGTTGAATGCTCCCATTCAGCACGGGTACGTCGAACGAATTTTGACGATAGTGCGGTAGTAAGTAGACTCCCGTGATTATCTGTAAAGAATAAAAGCGCCCCATCGAGCGGCGGACAAGCAGCAGGGTGGACATGGGGAGCCGATCAATCAGGGCCGGAATCACGTGTTGCTGGGGATCGGACCCGCTTCATTGGAGCGCCGAGTCCTGGCACGGGGGATTTGTTTCTCCCAGTCAGCATCTCTGTCCATTCTCCACCGTGAATGAGCGAGCGAGCTGATCGCAGAGATCCTTTCGCACGCAACGTGTACTCTGCTAGTGTGAACGAAGCAATCGAAGATCTATACGTCACTTGATTCCTGAGGTTCCTTCGCCTCGGATTCTGGCACGGTCAACGAAGCACAATGATCACAGGGTGGGAAGCTTCCTTTCGGTTGGGAAACGCACTCGAGACACCTCATTCGAGCCTCTTCCCGTTTTCCGCAGTCTGGATCTTCTCCTTCAAGCGTCTTTCCCAGCCGTGAGCAAGTGTCCCGTTCTTTGGTCATGGTGTTTTTTAGGCAGGCATGCGACCAGATGCCTGCTCCTTTCTATCGGAGTCAGCTTCCTTCTACCATGCGCTCTAGTATCCCCCTAATCGGAGCGGAGCTAGATTTTCGGTACACAAAAGCAGAACTCCAGTCCGGCCGAGCCTGAAGAGCACAAAAGAATCCGGATCGGCCCCAACGACGAGAGAGTTTTCCGGCGGCTCGGTTCTGAATCCGGCGACAAATATCAGCGGACGAATGCCCCCGAGATCTTCAATCCCGTTGATTCGCTCGGAAGTCGAGGGCAATCAATGATCTCGTACATGCAGGAGAGTGATCGCCTCGATTTCAGGACGAGGGAGCTCTGTACCGATCTCCGGCACAACTCCGACACGTAGGTACGATAGGATTTCCTCAGTTCCCGCTCCAGGGAAAGCAGCTGATAATCGATATCCTATGGATCGACTCGTGAAACTTTACTGTATCTCAGAAAGTCTCGTTTATGTACGCCAGATGCAGGATATCTGCTTGGAGAACGAACACTGTCAGGCTCACCCCCTCCGAATTGCCGCTCAAGTCTTGATGCTCGTAGGGTTTTTCGCTTCCTCGGTCATCACTCTGCTCGTAAGGATTCCCTACGCAAGCGAGGCGAGTGCGGTGACCGATTGCCCACCTTGCTGAACGATCAGGAAGATCATATCCCAGATACTCCGCGAAATTAAGTCATCAGCATTATAATGAGCGGAGCCGCCATTCCCTGACATGTTATCAGCAGCCCCTCACGCTCCGGGGAGGACCGAACTGGGAACGTGTTTCCGTCGGGATTATGCGCTTTCATCGGGAAGAAGGGAAAATCCTGCAAACTTTCGAATAATATCGACATATATTGATGGAGTTTCTCGATATTCATCGAATGTTCACGTTTTCCTCATATGAGCGCTGGAGGACGGAAAAAAGCGCTTGCAGAAAGGATCACGGATCGATGCATCATTCGCAAAATACGGAGCACCCATTCAATTCGCGACAAGTTAGACGCCAATTCGTCAAGTGGCCCCAGACGTCAGGTGATGATGACATTCCACTCGGTCCAAGTAAGTATTTGGGATCTTCGGATGCCCTTATCAGAGCGAGTCGGCGTTCCGTTCCACCTTTCCGCTGCGTATTCTGTCTCTCGAAAATTTTCCAGGGAGAGATCTCTCGGAGCAGCTGGGAGGGGGAGGAGGATAGGCTTTCGTAAAAGTCCAACCCGCGTAAGGAGTCGGCAGCTAATGGAGATCCCGCTCCGCAAATAGGGGACGAGTTCTTCTCGATCGAATCAGGCGGACAAAGAGCTAAATTTAATATGTTTCATCTGCTCTACAAGTGCACCATGGATTAAATGAGCAAACAGGACCACTATGGTTCCATCCAGCGACCCCATTCATTCCGGATAAGACTATTGCGAAATTCGTCTGACATCCCCTTGTCGAGGAATTCGCTACGGAAGAGGTGTGTGGCGCGCATAGAAATCCGAATGCTAGTAATTTGTCTTTTTCAGCTTATGGAACGAGAGCATTGGAGCAAGAAAATCTCAAGGGTCCCGGACAACGTCAAGCTCAGCCCATCCGTACTGAAAGAAATAGGCGAGGTCGGATCGGAGCCGTGGGTGACAGAGCTTCAAAAGGTCATTTCGGGCTCCTCCTCACAGGAGTTGTACTTTTAAAGCCGGATCAGGTGATGAAACTCTGAACTCCAGCGGTGGGAGCTTCGGTTGTCGTCTCATCAAACAAATAATCTATGGTCCACCTCTGGAGGTGCCTGCTGTCCCTTAGCCCTGGAGACGACGAATTCTGTCTTCGACGCTCGAGTCTGTGTCTTCGTCGGTCCCTATGATCTGATACATCTGGTTGTCAAAACTCTTGGTGCGGTCCAGAGTATATACCCACGACGGAACCACGGGCGAGCTCAGGCGTTCAATATCCATTGGCTCCGTTCGACCCTCGGCGGCAGACTCTCGTAAACTAGGGCCCTTTCTTCACGAACTCGAACTCACTATTGACGTCGGCGGGTTGGAGCGCCAAACACTCGTCAGCATCGGTGATTTTCAAATACTGTCGGTCGTAGACGTTGTATTCCGAAGCGAGGTTCAAGTCGAGCGTGTAGTTGATCGGCGGCGGTGGACTCCTGTGCCGGTGATGGTTTTTCTCTCTGATTCTTTTTCTGGCGTCGTACACGGTCTCATTGGCCAAACGAGTCATCGTGTGCGGATGCGATTTTCGTGGATATATTTTTTCGAACGTGTTCCGTAAAAACACAGTCAGTGCTTAGGCGCCTCCATTTCACACCGCGGGAAGCTACGATGAGGACTCCGCCGGGAACCGACGTTGAGCTGACACTACGGAATCGTAAAAGTGTACACACTCAGGGATGGTGGAACGTTGCCCGTTTCAGGTTGGCATGTTGACACAATGTTTCTACCACGCACAGAAATTACAAGACCGAGTACAGAACTTGAGGGCTCCACCAGAATCCAGGAGAGAAGTCTGGTTGTGCCCGCGCTCAGGACTGGGTTCGCTCTCGGTGGGGAACTATTCTCCACGTTGTCTCGACCCAGACCCTCACCCGCTTTGCGTGGCGCCCTCAGCGGGAACGGCCACAGACAGGCGGCCGACCAACTCAGACAGCCCCATTTGCGGCATATCCGCTCTGGGCTCGGCTCTAAATTGCACACTATGCCGTTAGCATCTTTCGTTCGAGATACGTCTGTGGGCAACACTCGAGCTTGCGTCAACCACGGGCTTTAGCCGCGGCTCATGTTAAAAAATCACGCGGAAAATGAGCGCTTGCTGAATCCAAGTTTTCTCGGCTCACGTGAACAGCTTCATGAGACTCCCCAACAACGCATGGAGGCGGTGAATTCCGGGGAATATCTGGGAAGACGTTGCGGAAATCCAGGATGTTCCCTCGTGAGCAATCGTTTGTGCTGATTGTTCCCCCCATTCCGAACGCGATCTAGGAACGACGACTTTTGATATTTTTGTTGGACGCGCGTCGAGAGGAAGAGTCGGAAGGCAATTGTGTCTATATTCCCCGAGATTCGGAGAACGCCCCGACGTATCAAGTATCAATAAGGACGTCAGTCGCGAAGTCCAATCGAAGGCCGCTGGGCTCATCATGACTGACAATCAGGTCCCGATGAACTCGGGATACATGCCCACAATACGCTTCCTGACGGATTCTCATATTCCGCCAGTGAGGGCGCCCCGGAAACGTCAGATGAATAGCCCGATGTAATCAATGATGGTAGTGCGTTCCTCATGCTTCGTACTGGTAGTCGCCCTCATCCCGGGAGTTCTTCGCCCTTCCATCGAGTTTCTCCTGCGCCCGTACTTTGCGAATACATCCGGAGTGCAGGGATTCACATTTCGGAGGCATCGTTCCGAGTGTGACTTGTTCTCTGCGGTACAAATCCTTTACGAGCACCTGCACGCTTGACTATCACAAGGACTTCCCTGGCGCATTGGTTAAACTTGTCTTGCGGGCTCATGTACGCTCGGCCGAGTCACTGGGAGAGACATCCTGATGATGGACGAAAGCCATCTCTGGGGGACATTCCAGTTGTTCCTTGATGGGTGAGTTCCTAGATCTTCTCATTCCGTGAGACCCAATTCCCGTGCAGGGAACGGACAGTTCCCGAGGATTTGCTTTCGAGCGCCAAGTAGCTCGTGGCGGAAAAACTCATTTCGGTGATGTCCACCTGGAAGATTGCCCAGCTTTCCGAGTCTGCAGCTGAAATCCGCCGTGTGTATCGCCACTCTCGCTCCTCGTTTCAAGCAATCATCTCCCCGATTTTCCGACTGGCGATGTCCTGAAGCTCTACCTCTTACTCACCGGGCATCCGAGGCCGCAGCTGCACGAGCCACGCTAACTAATGCTCGCCGTCTGTTCCAACACAAGCGCTCAGGAAGCGGTTCTCGAGTCTCTGGAAGCTCAGCCCGTATATGACCATATTGTTCACAGACATTTGTACGGAATCGACTCAAAATCTCTTGGCCACTGCCTTCACTCTGGCCTCGAAGCCTTTTCCTTCGGGTTCCGCGTCGGGCTGATTGGATCGACTGCTTGCAGAGACGCGACAGTTTCGAGTTCCTCGAGAAATGAATATCTCTTCAAAAGGGATCCCTCCCAGTCCGGGGAGCTGTGCATTCGACAAGGAACTAGGAGAGACGCCATCATATTACAAGAAGGTCTTGTGGTTCATTACTAGGTTTTAAAGATCCTCAAAGCGCTTGATTTCCAATATCAATCTAAGAAAAATTTCAGTTCCCGGATCAATAACGGAAATCGATTCCGAAGACGAAAGTCTCCTTCCCACTAGCTCTCATGGTGAGCTGACGATCCCCTTCATCGGCAAACGCACGCTGATTTCTAGCCGCGATAATTATTCACGGAGATTTTCGCGAGATTCCGAAGTATCTCTCCAAAACATGAGTAACGAGGATCAAGGAAGATAATAAACTTTGTTGAAGAGACGTTTCGCCGTTTCGAGGAGGTAGGGAGAAAATCCGGATAAAATAGTTGCGATTCGCTCAATCCGAGCGTACAAAGCGATCTTTTGCCGTACAGATATGATATGGAGCTCTCGATTCAGGGCTGTAAACGCGAGCGTGAGATTTATGCCAATCCCTGAAGAGTACCATACTCCCTGAGACCAAGCCGAGTGTGAATGGCGTTGTCTATGGCTCCGACGAACTCCGACAGTCGGCAGCCCGGGTCGGAGCTGACTAATTGACATCGCCGCGCCGACGAATACCGAAGGGAATCGGGTTGAGCTGATGGTAGAGGGCTTCATTTAGGGCCTGCCGGGGACAGGGACAGAAAATCTTCGCCTCCGATCCTCGATTCTGCGTTTGCGAGGGAAATGCGACGACTATTCAGTCATACACATTGCTTGCTTCCGACGGAGAGCGGAGAACGATTACACCCAGAGCGAGAACATAGTCGCGGTCGTGATCCTGAAAATGTCCACGGGGCCCGCTGCGTTCTTAGTGCATAAAGCAGCCCACTCGCTGCTTCCGACTATGTGACTGACGTATACCTCTCGAGAGAGTCGCCGACGGACGAATTCCTCGAACGCACAGACTTGAAATCCCCTGATTATGCACTGCATCCCCTTTGGGAACTTCGGGACCGACGACTTGCTCCGGAGCACAGTAGATTGGTCCGATATTCATAATTAGGATACTCTTCCAGAACCGGGAATGGATCGAACACGCAGAAAATTCCGGGTTCGCATGAAATCGATCGTGCTGATCATAGCTCACCCGGCCAGGGCTAATCCAGAGCCAGAAGGCAGACCGACGAGAACCGCACATCGTTGAATAATATTTATTATCATCAAATCTGATTTACGGATAGCTGGTCGTGATTGAGTACACACCCTCGTCGAGCAGGGCAGCCCCGTTAAGCCACAAATCTGTTTGTCTCTCCGAGCAAAAGCGAATCACACCACACAACATGCTGCAACATGTCACAAGAAGGTGAGCGATCTGGAAAGCGTTCATAATTCCCCGTATTGAGGTGTCGTGCTGCAAACTAGTCCCTATCGAACCTCAATCGGATTGTGTCGCCGAGACGACACACCGACACCGATCGCCGGAGTTCACCTAGTCTGCGCTAGCTCGAGTCCAATCCCAGCGAAAACTAAAACGAGTCGCCTTCCAAAATGAGAAATTTTCTTCGTAGATTGCCTCTCGTATGCTGTTGGCTCGTTGGTGTCGCTGCCCTACCATCGGATATGCTCAACGACAAAAGTATGTTTTTATTCCCAGCACACGGGATTATTCACACCAGAGACGAATTCCGACGGAAGTTCAAGACGAACGTATCGCCGATGTTTGGAAGTGCTCGTTGATTCGAATCGGCATGAGTGATTCGATTATGAGGGAAGAACTTTACAGTTTGTGGTACGACGATTTTGCCGCGAATCGTGAATGGGAATGAGGCTCAGGATGGCGAATTCCCATGGGTGGTGAATCTCCATTCAACGACGCCGGACGGCGTTGTTCGATGCGCTGGATCTCTCATCACGTCGCGCCATGTTCTCACGGCCGGACACTGCCTCGAAGCGTGAGTCAGATTCATCCTTAGCCCCTCCGATCCAATCGTGAGAGAAATCGCAGCACTTCTGTGTTGGCGCCCACGAAAACGAAAGATGACCCAGTGAAACTCAACTCGTTTATTTTTCTTGCATGTCAGAGACGTTTCGAAAATTATCGTTTCGTACGGCTCGGCAAAACTCGCGGACTCGCAAGAGGTTCCGGTCAAGTCCCTGATCAGGTGAATACCGAAAACCATAGACGCTATCGATTGAGGAACGAGTCATATGACTGATGTCATATCAACAATGAATGCAAATCGCCTTGGAATTCGCCTAATCGGAAATGATGAAGGATTGCGCTACGACGATTTTGATTTTGCGGCGCGATGGTCTGTAACTAATCTCTCTTCCGTTCCCTCCTGCTCCAGACACAAGAATTTCAATACGGAGACACTCGAACACGATGTCATGGTTCTCTTGCTAGCGGATGACGTTACATTCAGCCGTTACGTGAGACCTATATGCTTGCCTACGCCACGCCTGGATCCTCAACACATGGCGGGGATGAAAGCCCTGGTCGCTGGTTGGGGTACTCTCCACGATCCGTCGGAACAAAGGAAAAATCCCTTATTGAGTGAGTCAGAGGGCGCCCCCTCATAGGCGACCTCAGAATGCCGTATATTTCGAATGTAGGGTGTAGTAGCTGCCACAAATTCGAGCAATTTACTCGTCGAGAGAGAAGTGAAGGACTTGACCGTCATGAATCATGGAGAGATACACCATCGATGGATCGGATCGATCTCGGAGGTGGAGGTTTGATAGCAGCCAACGCTTGCCACTTGCAGAGATCCACACCGACTCTATGATGCGGACGAGCCTCACGCTTCTGAATGACTCGACATGCGCACAACTTTCGGGAGCAGCCGCTGGACGGAATCTTTACATCGAGGGATCGCAAATCTGCACTTTCGACGTGGGAACAGACACCTGCGTGGCAAGTACTCCGCGGAATTATACTCGAAACTCCTGTCTGATTGAGGAAGTCACGGATGAGCTCAGTAGCTCGTTTCCTTAGGGCTGGGCGTCAATGATCCACGACGAAGACTCATCCAGATCAGGGGAGAAGTCTTTTCCGTGACACTCCGATTCATGATAGTTTTCCACAGGGGGATTCCGGAGGACCGCTCTTCGCTCGCGTCAAGTCGCGCTACTACCAGATCGGAGTCGTCTCTGGCGGTCAGGAATGCGCGGGGGCACATCCGGGGGTCTACGCAAACGTTTACACCTATATCACGTGGATTATGAGGGTCGTCAATTCTCTGGGATGAGCGCATTCACTCTAGCACATTGTTACGAGGGCTGACGATAATCTCTAAAATTAAATGACCCATGAATCACGCATCCTCTCTCCTCCTTTCCCGTCGAGTTTCCAGTACATACCTCCATCGGATCATTGCAAACGAACGAGCCTTCGAATTTTCCTGCCAGACAACGTGGTATTTGATGCGCATGATACTTGCCATTTTCCAAGGGGAACGAGCCTCCACCTTATTCCCGTCGCGCTTCGTCACGATGATAGCTATAGGCGATACGACTCGCGATCAAACATTCGAGAGAATCGTTCCGGATTGGAATGCGGTATCGTTTCACCTCGCTGTGCTGAACCGAATACATGTAATTCCGTTCCAAAATTGTATATCACAATAAACGATCCACTTCAAGCCTTTGTCCAATACCAATGCAGAAGAATTCGAGTCGAGTAAAACCACCTCCCCGTCGACAGCGAAGGAGATGAGTACACCTCAGTGCAGGGACGGATAATCCATGAATCGGATGAATGGTGATGATGGGATGTAGATAGCGGCCGAAGCATGCCTCATGAAGAGACCAGCACCAGCTCAATGATGCGGACGAGCCTCACGCATCTGGCTGGCACGAGATGCGCGAAGGTTTCGGGAGTGTTAACGGGGCGCAATCTCTTCACCGTCGGGTCGCAGATGTGTTCCTCCGACATGTGGAGAGATGACTGCGAGGCAGCAAATCGCCGGATCCGCTAGCTACCTCTTCCTTTCTCTTCGAGGAAGCTCCGAAGAAAAACCCATTTCGCCCTATCCTCGAAGCTGGGCATAAAAGATTTAAGCCATGGAACCCAATAATTTCGATCTGAGGACAATTCTGACTCTTGGACTCTGATCCATAAGAGTTTTCCATGGGGGGATTTCGGGAGGCCACTCTTCCGTCGCGCCTTGGCGACCTAGTTAGGAGCCTCCGGGGGTCTACGCAAACGTTTACACCTATTTCACGTGAATTATGAGAGTCGTCAATTCTCTGGGATGGGCGCATTTACTTTTACACATTGTTACGAGGGCTGACGATAATCTCTAAAATTAAATGACCCATGAATCACGCATGCTCTCTCCTCCTTTCCCGTCGAGTGTCCATTACATACCTCCATCGGACGCGTCGGATCTTAGGAGCTTAGGAGTCGTATTCGGGATCGGCTGGGTCGAGCAGAAAATCGCTATAAGGCGCATTGGTCAATGGAAGTTCCCCTTCCGTAATTCTTCCATAGATCCGAAATAATTGAGTTCCGTGAATGATGAGTGTCCGGTGTGCAGTCGAGAAACAGGCCAAAGATATCGCGATTGATGCGGGACTATCTCCATCTTGAGTCTCCGACGTCGCGTCGTCCCCGATTTCCAGGACTTATCAGGCCGGTTGACGGGAGCTCATAGCTTAGAATCGGACGAACAGACACACATTCATTTTCATACACAGACAGGAAAAGAGGGGAGAAGATGCTCAGGAGTATGAACGACGGTAATGCTATGCTTGGCTGGGAGAATAAATCGTGGCTGTCAGAGTTGACACCTGTAACAATAAGAGATATGAGTTCTTCCCGCAAACTATTTCCTGATTCTCTTTGGATACGATTCTCGTGGGAAGAAAGATGGCTGACTACCTGAATCCAGTTCGGGACTGAGGATTGGATTGCCTAGGAGGACTATGAATAAATCGAAAGGTGAGAGCTTCAGACATTGCGAGATGATCCATAAAGTTCCATCCATGGAAAGACATCGCTGCTATATTTCGAAGCTACAGCGGATTTTTGTCGAGTGATGTCTGCTCTCCTCCAAAGGTTTGGAGTTTGCATTTATCGCACTCTTTCGAGGAGCCTGTGCATGGTCGAAGAAACAATCCCCCGCCTGGATTCCAGAGGTAAGTCTGGACTCAGAGAGAAGGAGCTCCAGGTTTGTCTGACAACAATTTTCGCTTGAAACCTCCCAATCCAGCCTCGCTGCTCCCGCGGTGCGGTGGTGGCCACGCATTCTCTACGTGTCCGAGTGGAATTGATCGGGCTGGTGTACGGAAGGACCAGGCCCTCACGTCAGTGCACCGCTCAGAACCGTTCGACGAAGTTTCGGTTTTTCTGTTGAAAGGGTCTCTCGACTCTCAGCGTCGCGGGTTGAAGCGGAGAAACTGATCACCTCGCCCGAAGAAGAAAACTCGAGTCTCGGAGACCGCAGTATGGGAATCAAGTCGGACGGGCACTCCCGAACTCATTGATTGTCACATTCTCGATTTCGTCAGAAGTAGCTATCTTTTAGCTGCCGATACTTCCCCGAGAATTCCGCGATTGGTCCTGAAAGCTTGTACGGAGTTCTCGAGCCCACTCCAAGGGACGCTCGGAGCTGAGAAGGGAGATTATCCTCGACTTGAAAGCAGGGACACGCTTGTTACCCGCTTCCGAGACGCAGATCGCACTTCGTACCCCTTTCGCGTGACAGCCTCCAGGGAAAACGACGACATAAATTTTGGACGGCGTCCGTAAGGTGGACCGCAATAAATCTGTAGCTCAACACCTGGTCTCCGTATATGTCGCAAAGCACTTTTTCCGGAACCGCTCAAAGGAATCTGTTACGGCGCCCCTCCGATTAAAATGTAACGGAGTTGGGTCGGAGAGCGGGATTCTTTCCTTCGCCGTAGATGGCGATGTGTGGGTGGAGATGTCGATGAACTCGTCCGCGAGGAAATACCGAACTACTCAGGAGGTTTTTCAGCGAGATCTGAGGGCTCTCGAGGAAAAACCACGGGTTCCACGCTGAAAACAACTCGAGATTGATTTCCGGAAAAAAATCCTCCAGATTTGATACCGCTTTTTCCTGGCTTCGCGATCGAAGCCTCCGATCGTCCGTCTTGTGGGGGGAAAGATGACTGCCTTGAAGTCAACAGCCAGAGCGTGAGAACTCACTCAGCATCGGTGTACAAAGCATGAGTCATTCAGTCAGGGAGCATGATTTTTGAAGACGATTCCGGTCAATTCCCCATGTGCGCTTGCTAGCGTCGTGCAGAGAAGCAATTCGTCGAGCTGAGGAAGGCCGAGGAGGGATGCCCTTTTCAGGGGTCATCATAAGCATAAGCTTGCGTATAGGCGCGAACGATAGATCGCAAGCGGAATGAAGGCGAAGAGCGAATCTAACGATGATACTGAAGAGGACGATGCGACCCCAGTGGTGTGGTCGCACGTTGGGGAGTTGAAGCTCCTCACGAGGCGACCTGGTTCCTTCATCTACTGAGCAATCATGAGAGAGCATACTCCCACACCGAAACCGTCATAAATCAAGTCCCTCGTATCGTATCCTCTAACTCTAATGATTCCCCGATTTCACGCAGTATAGGGAAGAAGTTCTATTCTGTGTAGCCCATGATCGGCCTCGAGGCAAAGCTCGCGGGAGCGCTGCTGCACGTTGGGAGCGACGATCCAGGAGCATCCGACGAGCGGACAGTCTCGCGTTGAGGAGGACGTCTAGAAACAGTTTCGAAATTGCTTATCGGTTGCTCGTCACCTCGCGTCGGCGATAGGCGAACTCGAATATTTATATAGGGCGGCCCGCCGACCGAAAGCTGCGGGAATTCTCCCAGTTTGTTCATACGGACACGGTATACTCACCGGTATCGTCATAGTGATGGGGTCAGCTCGTTCCTTGTCGCCATTCACAGATGTATAATCAGCTGAGCGTCGAGTTGTAGGCGTAGGATGAATGTGCCGAGGCCTCGATGTGGGTCTATCTGACTAAGTGAGCTTCCCCGGTCTCTCCGGAGCTCACAGAATCACCGAGAGATGCATTCACCGATCACCGATGGAGGAGAGAGGCCTTGAGCGTGAGCAATCAATAACGATGCCCCATTCGATCGCAACTGTTGAGGGTCAGGCCCATGATAGCCCGGTCATGGGGGTCAATGGATACGACGAGCACTCGACGAGCCCTATCCGAGAGACCGTCGGGGGCAAGAAATTCTGCTATGTAGGTCCCCTTAACGAGGGAATGACGCGGTCCCCTCAACGGAGCTTGAACTTCCTCAGTTTTTTGCATCACAGAACGGGGATGGGAGTCGGCGTTCTGAAGCATTATTTTTTTTCTCCGAGCCCGGGGAGCTAAACCACATGTGTGGAGAAAGTTTTGCAAGGATGAGTAAACTCATCAGTCTAATTGCTCTCCCCAACGAGAGGCAGTTTTTTTTTCTAGGGGCCGAAAGCAGTTTAAGGTCCCCCAGACGTGCTAGGATCTCTGGCGACTTGGCCGTCGACATATCGCCAGCCAGCGAGACTCCTTATTAGAGTTGGAACCGCAAAACAGTGCCAACGTGCAGCTGTTGTTCGGGAAGCCGATGTTGTCCTGGTCACCATTAGCCTAATTGACGGGATCAGGGAACAAGAAGAGTCTTCGCCGGGATTTCGCTAATACAATGTCCCGCAAGGAACGTGTCGATCGGACCGCGGTTTATGTCAGCATCTTCCGTTTTTGTCCCGAATTCAGTCATCATCGGTGTGGGCTTCAATTGCGACGAGTACTACTCGCCATGCTCCCCGATCGAGTCAAAACGATGCCTCACACTGGAGATCGCACCGGCCCGGACGTCTTTTAAGAAATGTTACCGTCTCTAGGGCTCACTCCGATGGGATGCGCACCCAACAGAGGATCCGCGCCTGAAATTCCGGGCGCGGCTTCTGAACGCGATCGATCGAGTCGCAGCCTATACTCTCAAATTACACTCCTAACGACGGAAGAAAGGGCAGGACTCGAAGTCAATGCTCGCGTTCGCAAGCCCCTCCCAGCTGTTCGAAAATGAGTCTGTGATTCAGGCAAAATCATGCGAAGCGAAGATTAATTTGAGCCTAACCCGATCGGACCCAACCAGCCGGCGACCGGACGATGGCTACCCTCGCATAATCGATGAGCTCATACGACCAAGTATCGGGGATCAATCGGCGTAGGCGCATTCCTTCACTCGGTCCCATGGTGATGCAGTGCGAAGCTCTCGCGATGATCAGAGGCGAGGTTTCACATCGGGGTGATCACGGAAAGTCGCAGAGATGGAATTTCACTGTTGTGAGCGGGTGGTTTCACGGACTGCATGCTCGGCGAGACATCCATTCGGAGTTTTCAGTCAAGTCGGCCGAAGACACGGCAGACACGGCTAATCGGATAGCCGAGCGCCGGAGGGACGGCTCTGCTGCTCTTCGACCCCGCAACCGGCGACGCCCATGAAGTTGACGTGCGACGGTCATCACGAGAGACTTCCGTTCCCTCCGGGGTGCCATACGAGAGTCAACGTATTTTACATTGCACCTTTCACGTTGTTTCGGGACCAGAATATATCTTCTCGAATTATTGAAGTTGTACTAT